CGCTGCCCGCTGCCCGCTGCCCGCGCCGGCGGCTCACGGGCGGCCTGTCCCTGGCAGGTGGCGCTGCCGGCCCTGTCCCCCACCATGCAGATGGGCACCATCGCGCGCTGGGAGAAGAAGGAGGGCGAGCGCATCGGCGAGGGCGAGCTCATCGCGGAGGTGGGTGCGGGCGCCGCCGCCGCTGCCCCTGGAGCGGGGAGCGGGCGCGCGGAGGACGCTTCCCGGCGCGGGAGCCGCGCGGAGCAGGCCCCGCTGCCCGGGAAGGGCTCCCGGCGCGGCACTGCCTCACCCTAACCCCCTGCTGCGCTCGCCCCAAGGTGGAGACGGACAAGGCCACGGTTGGCTTCGAGAGCGTGGAGGACTGTTACTTGGCCAAGATCCTGGTGCCGGAAGGAACGAGGGATGTTCCCATTGGGGCCATAATATGTATCACAGTTGAAAAGTATGTATTCGGATAACACTGAATTCAGTTCCATTGATTTCGATCTCTTGGGGCTGGTTGGCTGATCGGAAAGGCCTAGAGACAGCGGTCTCAAAGGGCTAAGAACTGCTTTCCTAGCACTGTGCTCTCTTGTAGGCCTGAACACGTTGATGCCTTTAAAAACTACACGCTGGATCCTGCAGCATCTGCCCCCGCTACAGCAGCAGTGCCTCCCCCTCCCGCTGCAGCGCCCTCGCCACCGTCTCAGCCTTCTCCTCAGCCTCCTGGCAGCTCTTACCCACCTCACATGCAGGTAGGAGAGCCCCGCTGATGAAGTCACCTTTGCTGGCTCCAGGGCACTGTGTCGAAATTGGTGCCTGCATTGGGAAGTTGCTGGCTCCGGCTGCAGGAGTGCGAGCCACTCGCGTCGTGGTGCGCTTAAATTCACTGCCACTGGAGGTTGCAGCGAGCTGCTTTCTGAAAGTTACCTTAGCATCTCCGCTGTCAGCGGAGGAGAGATTTGTCTTTCTAGGGTTCTTCTGCAGGCCAGAAAAAAAGAGACACGTTTGCATGATTTGGACACTTGTGACAGAGGAGGCCCCCTGTGAAGTGTGAATAAGCTCTGACAGCCTTCAGAGCTGCATCTCAGAGCAAGAGCAAGAGTAACGTTGCGGCCAATGTGCCCAACATGTTTGTAGGCGACTGGTAATGGGTGGTATTTGTGGGTCGCCTTTTCACTCTCCTTGGATATGGAAGCATACCCCAATTCCTGCTGTGTGCGAGTGCTTTGCAATTTCTGCAATACTCCTTTCAAGTGGGAAGTTGCTCCTAATTTCATTTTACAGATGACTTATATGGAAACTGGCTCATCTGTTGAGGGAAATGAATGAGTGAATAGGGAGTTAATTCAAAGCTCCTTAGTGTGTCTTGCTTTCTTAAGCCTTGATAAAAGAAGCACGCTGGAGATGTGGCTCAGCTTTACATGTGTTTCAGTGGAACCCCACATGAGAGTGCAGCAAAGAGCAGCAACTACTTTTCTTTGACGGCACTTGGCTGGGAGTTAGAATTCTCCTTCTCTTTCCTTTGAGTTACGGGAGGCTGATTTCCTCCTGTTTGCCGGCTTCACAGGTCACTCTCCCGGCTCTTTCACCCACCATGACGATGGGCACAGTGCAGAGGTGGGAGAAGAAGGTTGGGGAGAAACTGAACGAAGGAGACTTACTGGCAGAAATTGAAACAGATAAAGCCACAATAGGTGAGTCAGCTCCAAAGCCAAGGCAAGGTGGTATGACCTTAAAAGAGGAGGATCCAAAGCAGCTTTTATGCAAACTGTTCTCCTCCAGCTGCCCAGGACACAGTGTGGCGGGCAGTCAAAAGCAGCTTTGTTACTTCTCTTTCCAGTGCAGAGCTTAAACACTGGAGCTCTGGAAAACACTAATATTTCCTCATCTGTGGTTGTGCCTGGAAATGTCTGTCTGCCAGTTGCGTGAGGAGGGATTCTCTTACAAGCTCAAAAAATGGCAGGGCTTTAGCTTCCAAAGTCTTGAGAACTATCATTTAGAGGAACTCTTTAGCTGCAGCAGGTGCCAAAGCACTTTAGTGTCTTTCCCTTCCAGGCTTTGAGGTGCAGGAAGAAGGCTACTTGGCAAAAATCCTGGTGCCTGAAGGAACAAGGGATGTGCCACTCGGAACAGCTCTTTGCATCATTGTGGAGAAAGAGTCTGATATTCCAGCCTTTGCTGACTACCGGGAGACCGGAGTCGTTGACATGAAGCCACAAGCTGCTGCTCCTCCTCCACCAGTAAGGACCACCCCTAGCAGGGGAGAGAAGTTATGGGGACCACTGAGAATTGCTGGTCTGATCTGAACGGTTCTGCTGTTTTGACCCTGTGAAGCCCTAGCTCCAGTAATAACATGTATGATCTCGTGAGTGCCAGGCTAACGCATACATTGGTGTTGTGTATCACTTGTTGGGTCATCCAGTTGGGTCATCCAGATCATTTATGATCTCTTCTCCAGCCTTTTGCTCGAACCTGCTGTAATGACTTCTGCCTGCCAAATTAGAACAAATTACGTCTTTCACCTTTAATCAGCCACCTTCCTGAGAAAGTTCTGATTTGACTTTGGTACTGGGGAACTTCTCTGAGTCTGAAAATCCACCCAGATGAATGTCTGTTTGCTGTTCCCCTGACTGATAATTGCTGTCTTGCTCTCTTGCTGTACTGTACTGAACCTTTGCAAGGCTTTTACTGAAGCTCATAGTTTTATTTGTTCTGTTAAGGTGATGGCAACTCCTGCTGCCCCTACTCCTCCGCAGCCTGCTGCCCCTCCTGCTCCAGCGGTGGCGGCGGCTGTGCCTCCTTCCCAGAAAGGAAGGATCCTAGTTAGTCCCCTGGCAAAGAAACTGGCAGCAGAAAAAGGAATTGACCTCGCTCAGGTGAAAGGTAAGTTGCCTTTTCTCTTCCATACTCTCACTGTCAGGTATCTTTCCTGTCAGTGTATGTTTCCTGTAGGCCTATCCTCTCCTCTCCTTCCTCTCAGGAACATTTTCAACCCTCCTTCACCCTCCGAGGCTACATTGAATAACTTACCTCTGTCAAGCAAAACTGCTACCCTTGTAAGCAATGTTCAGTTGCAGATAGCTGATACCCTTTTCCCTTTTTCCTTTGATTTCCTTAGGAACTGGACCAGATGGTAGAATCACGAAGAAAGATGTAGAGTCATTTGTGCCACCAAAAGCTGCCCCGGTAAGTAAGCCTGACATCTCGGAGAATGGCTCTACTGTCACAGTGTTGGAAAAGCCCTGTGAGTGTGCAGCTGCTAGGAGCCAGCAGACTGTGGTTGTCTGCGTCTCAGCACTCTTCTTACACCATCCTGTGTCTCAAAAGACAAGCTATGGAAGTGCTTTGTGTGCCGCAGGAAGGCACGTGGCTGAATGCAGTTTGAAAGTGCCCTGTAGCCAGTGTCTCTGCTGAGTCCCTGAAACAGAATCATTTAGCAGGACTTTACGGTCCTGGAGATGTCCGGCAGTGTGTATTAGCCTCATATTTCAAAATCCAGTGCAACGCTTAATAATGAAAGGCTGGATTTATGCATGTCTGAGGGATTTAGTGGAGGCTAGGAGGGGGGAGACAGGAGAGTAGAAGTACCTGCTACGCACAAGCAACAGAGCGGGTAGCCCGGTGCTTGCTTGGCACACTGCCCGTGCAAGCAGTGCTTTGCCAAGGGATATTTGGATAGGGCAGTGACCGATGCGCTTTCTTTCCCCGCAGGCCCCGGCGGCTGAGGCAGTACCTGCAGCTGCTGCAGTTGCAGCGGCACCTGTGGGGACCTTCACGGATATCCCTGTCAGCAACATTCGGAGGGTGAGAAGATGGTCTCACTTTCTGGGATCAGTATTTGCAGCCTTGAGTTTTCTGACTCAATTTGCTATCTTATTTGCTTCCATTGCTTGCCTGCAGGTCATTGCTCAGCGGCTGATGCAGTCTAAGCAAACAGTCCCTCACTACTACCTGTCTATCGATGTAAACATGGGAGAAGTTCTGGTGCTAAGAAAAGAACTCAATCAGGTAAAGCAGCTGGGGCGTCGTGCTGTGAGTGTGGTGGATCAGAGAGCTGGCTTCTCTCGTAAGGTTCCCACTCTGCTTTTTGGTTGCACGCCTCTTTGGCTTAGGAGAAAAATTGTCTTTGCACTGCCTTTCTGCTGGAAATTGGGAGGAAAGGAGAAAAGAGCGCCTCTTTTCTTAAGCGAGATGCTAATTCTAAGACAAGATTTTCTCTAAACAGGTCTGCAGGACAGTGACTAAATGAAGTGACTTGATGTGTGAGAGAGAAACTGATGCCTCGAATCTCTCTTATTTACAGGTGGTCTCAGATAACATTAAGCTGTCTGTCAATGACTTCATAATTAAAGCTTCAGCTCTGGCATGCTTGAAGGTGCCCGAGGCTAATTCTTCGTGGATGGACACAGTTATTAGGCAGTAAGTTTATGGTACGGTCGAAGCCAGAAACTTTCTTTCTTCAGTAGAGAGTTCATGGCGTACTAGCAGATCTTGTGGTGGGAATTTGACGTGGGAGGGCAAGAGGTATGATGCAGAGACTGGGAGGTTTTATTTAGGGGTCAGTGTGTATGGTAAATAGTAACTGCAAATTGAATGGTAACTTGAAATGGTCTTAATGCTTGTGGGTTTTTCTCATTGCATCTTGCTGGAATGGCTTGCGTTGTGTCTTGCAGAAATCATGTAGTGGATGTGAGTGTCGCAGTGAGTACTCCTGCGGGGCTTATAACCCCTATTGTGTTTAACGCACATGTAAAGGGCCTGGCTTCCATTAGCAAGGATGTTGTCTCTTTGGCAACCAAAGCCCGAGAAGGTAAACTTCAGCCACACGAATTCCAGGTGAGCGCCTTCGATTGCTAATAATTTCTGCTGCTCATGACCTTTGTCTGTCTTCAAAACGAGCAAAGTCTGTTCTGTGAGGTGCTTCGGCCACATTGTTTAATAGGCCGCGTGGAAGGGCTTCTGTGAGTTTCTCCATGAACATGCTTTTCTTGCAGGGTGGCACTTTCACAGTTTCCAATTTAGGAATGTATGGGATTAAGAATTTCTCTGCCATAATCAATCCCCCTCAAGCCTGCATCCTTGCGGTTGGTTCCTCCGAGAAAAGGCTGGTGCCAGCAGACAATGAGAAAGGGTACGTTGATTCTCCGTATACTTAGCTTCTGCATTAAAACTTCGAAATAATGGCTAGTTTTCTAACCCTCCCAGAGGAAGATCTCGTGTTTTGATGGCTGTGTGACACTGTCCCAGTGAATGGCAACTGATTTGCCGTACAGTGATCCCCACAACTTCTTTGCCAGTTAACAAAGGGCTTTATTTTTACCTTGAGGGGAGGGATAAGCTGTGGAAAAGTCTTGGACTCGCACGAGTTGAGGCACTAGTCATCTCCAATAACGTGCTGAAATTTTCATCTTTAAGGAAAGCTTCGCTGATGGTTAATGGCTCTGGTGTCGCGTGTGCAACGTGTTTATCTTCTCTTTCAGATTTGATGTGGCCAGTGTAATGTCCGTTACACTTAGCTGTGACCATCGCGTCGTGGATGGAGCAGTTGGAGCACAATGGCTTGTAGAATTCAAGAATTTCCTTGAAAAACCAGTAACGATGCTGCTATAATCTAACTATGTAAGCAAAATCTTCCTGGGTCACACTGTTTTGTTCTAAACAAGCTATTAGACTTTAATGTTCAGTCTTAGAGTTTCTTTTTTTATTATTATTGTTTTAAATATGTATGATATTATCTGGTAATCTTATTACCAGTGTGTACAGGTAAAATAGTTTGCAAAAAGGCTTTTCAGAGCAATATGGAGCTGTACTGTATTTTTGTACAGGTAACTTGCAAACTCTCCCAAAACAGCATTAAACACCCAGATTTAAAAATTATCCAAGCAGTACGCATCCTTCCAGCAGCTTCTAAATGAGAGTGAACACAGGGGTGCATACCAAGTGATTTCTCGATCTTGATTCTTCACAGGAGTTGAGATGAGCTGGTAAATGAAATCTGCAAGGTAGTGGAAGGTGAATTCTGTGGTTAGCCTGTGCTCCTGCTGGGGTGGGCAAGAACGACATGCGCTAAGGCACGGAAGCCCTCGGGAATAGTTTCTCAAAGGCCGAGTGTTAGCGTCCCAAGCCTCCTTGGGAATTTGGCACTGGGCCTGACTTTCCCAGCGACGTGATCCCTTTCGAGCACTTTAACGTAAGGTGAAAGACCACTGACATCTCACCACAGGGAACACGCTCTCTCCTCGTGGACTTTCACTTACGTGTGCTTTTGTATGAAATCTCTTTTGCTTTCTCTTTCGCTAAGTTAGTCTCGGAGTATGATGTCATGGAAGTAGCTGTTTTGCAGAATGTTCAAGAGAATCTGTGTGTTACAACCCTGTGTGATACAACAATCACACATGCTAATAATCCCATCAGTGGGAAGTAATCATGTGATGACTCGAATGTTTGGAAAAGAAAATTCCTTTTCAGGCATTCTTACATAGGAAGCTCTGAGTCAGTCTCTGGTACTGCGGTTGTTTCATGAATTGTCTTACGTTGTCCCAGCCTCAGTAAACTGCAGAATGTGCTATCCATGTATATACTGTAAGTAAAATGCTTGAATAGGTCATTGGACTTGTGTCCACTTACCCCAGTCATTGTATCCCGAAAGGGGTACAGAGGTGAACATTCTTAAAATCCACTTTCCAAATGGAAATATTAATGTAAAAAGGAGGATTGTGTAATAATTATGAAGTGGACTGGAGAATTAAATAGGAGGGACAAGTTCAGAAAAAAATCTGACCTGTTATTCTGTATATTGCATTAAGTACTGTCTCCTGTAAAGTTGTGGCACAAAATTGACTACAGATGTTGAAAGAAAATACTATAGCAATTAAATATGTTTTGTGGGGACTATTTAATGTCTGGTTGGAACAATACCTGGTTTTCATGTCTGGCTTAAAGAAAAAAAACCTATATTTTAAAGGATCTAAAATATTCTGGTACCAGACTTGCTCTGGTGAACCTGTGTGTTCTATTAAACATTTGGGATTGACAAACTACTGAAATTGGTGCAGTGCTTTTCTGTTCTGTAGAGAGTGTGGCTTACTGTACTGCTCTGGCATGGGAGAGCTGCTTAGCGGTCGGTAGTGCAACTCACCCTATTACCCTTCCATTGCCACCACAACTGCTCAAAAAACAGCACACCTCTAAGCACCCTTGTGCTTGTACTGCTTGGCAGCGCCGAAGCTCAATCTTCCCTGCCGTTGTGTCAGTACCTCCTGTTCTGGCAAAGGGAAACACCTCAGCGCTAATCTACATGGCTCGTCCTCGGGCAGCAGCACTCTTTGAATGACAGCCAGAAGGAGGATTTGGGGAATGGAAGCGTGTTCACATTCCGTGTTTGCGCCGAGAGCTCCGCCAGGGCCGCCCGGCACGGCGTCCAGCCAGCAACCCGATGGCCGCGCTCACGCAGTCGCTGTATTTCAGCCTGGACGTGCAGCTCTAAGGGCTGGCAAGGATTTCAGTGGAGCCTTCTGTGTTTCTTTGAAGCCAAGGAGAGAGGAGAGAGAGAGCTAGGAGTTGCTCCTCTTTTATAAGGTTCCATTTTCAGATAGCAGCTCTGCACTAAGTAACTGGGGTGGTGCCTGATCTAAGAATGTGGTGTAGTGTAAATATGGCATAGAAGGCCTAAGAACAATATTACACAAAACTGGTTATGAAACTAAGATGACTTAAGCTATTTTGTGTCCCTTTCCCGTGAATGATACTACATTTTATTGAGCCTTTGAAGGTCTTTTTGTACTTCTACGTTATGTGATATGTTGTGTTTTAGTGTCAACTCATGAGGCTTGTTTTGCTAATTGAAGTACTCCAAGATTGCTTTTGCTCCCTAGCTTCACCCGTAAGTGTTCTTGACCCTTGGTCCTTCATATGCTGCTTTGAAGGGTGTAGAACAGGTCAGTTGTTCATGGTCTTCTTCTGAAATTACCAAACTGATAAAGGGTGGTCAAGTATATCTAGTAACTACTGAAAAGCTACAAAGCTACAAATATGAGAGCTATTCTAGCCACACAGTACTGAAAGAGCATTTATTTTCAAACAAACAAACAAACAAACAAAACAAAACCTGCCTTTGATGTATACAAAGGCAAAACGGAATGATGTAGTAAAGCTCATACGAGTTTAAATTTCTTAAATTCTACAGTTGTCAACATATCCAAGTATTTCTTGAATGTTTATTTTTTTTCCTCCAAGTTCAGTGGGGCTAATATTTCTATAGTGTCCTTTTTCCTTTGCTAAATACTGCTGTAGTCGTTTCTTTGTCCACCAGTTGTGGTAGATGTAGCTCTAGTTTGTATTTGCCAGAGATCTCAATGATTGTATCGTCCTAAAACAAAGCACTTGGTTAACTCGCAGACAACAAATTAGCAGTGAGTGTTCCTGTGATCTGGATACTATGCAGAAACCAGAAGGTTACTTTCTGTTTTCTTTCCTTGGAAATACTCAGATCACACTCAGAAACAGAGCTAACTTTGGGCAATTCAATTTTCAGCTCTATCGTTTGTGGTTTCTTGTTTGCATCCTTCACCGTGAGCATTTCATAGACGGGTGTACTTAGCTCCTCTGGCACCTCTGGACAGGAAATTTCTTCTATCAGCGGCGGGTTAGACTGTTTCAGGCTGTCCTGCAGCAGCACAGGCTCCCGGCTGCAGTCCTTCACCTCCGTGCCACGCAGCAGCTCAGCAAGACTCAGCTCTTTAGCACAGAGACCAAAATAAAAGAAAACGCTACTGAGCTATCAAAACCTGCACCGTTACGCTACCTGGAAAAAAAAGAAAATGAAGTCTGGCATAAATATCACACTGCTACTCTAAATTCTTAGCGGTGTCTGGCTTACGTATAGGGCAAGGATTAGGGTAAGAAAGAGGAGGGTTGAGGAGGTTTGGTGAAGAAGAAGAAGAGAAAAGCGAGGCCAGGAGCCTCATACCGCGGCTGGGGCTCTGGCTGAGTGGGGCTGCAGCCCCCCGTTCCCCTGTCAGGCTTTGCTGCAGCCTTTCCAGGCTTCCCTTCAGTTTGAACGTTTCAGGGGTGTAGGAGGGAGGAAGAGCGGGGCCGCAGCGCTCCGCGAGGAATTTCAGTGTCAGGCGGATCAGGTGCTCCATTTCTTCTCTGTCTTTTTCTGCTCGCTGAAGAACAGCGGCGATGTAGGCGACGTCTATATCGCTGTAACGCTCTAGGAAACAAAACGAGCGGCGCGGGAGCAGCGCCAAGCTGCTGCTGCTGCTGCTGCTGCTGATGATGATGATGATGATGCCGCCGCCGCCGCCGCACGGAGCACCCGGGGCCGCCCGCGGCCCGCAGCGACCGCGCCGCCGCCATCGCCATCGCCATGGTGACACGCGCCGGAAGGGCGCCGCGCTGCGCGGCCTCGCCGCCGT